ATGGAGTGGCTGAAGAGATACATTATTGAGTTGCTACTGATAAAAAATTTTAAGTGATGGATAAAAAAAAATTTAAAGTTGGAATAATGTTGTTTTTTCCAAAGCTCAATATTATATAGTCTATTTAAGATAGTTTTTTACTGCCATGTAAAACATGTTAAAAAGAGAGAGGTAGATATTTCCAGACGTAAGTTGTTATTCCTTACCTTCTTATCCAAGTTTGTAACCTTCTGTTATGAATCAACCTACACATAAGGTAGGTGCACACGGAATGTCTGATTTTTAAGTCTGTATATAAAACTGTGTATATTTTTTACAGACGTTGTTTCTATAATTAAATCTAAAATTTTTGCATTGCTCAATATTTTCATTACACAAACAAAATTACTTAATATTAATGATAATGTCTTGATAATTATTGCTATTGATAATACTACAAATATAATATCTGATGTTAGCAAATTTATAGTTATGGATATTATACATAGGACATAGTTTTCACGGTATATCGAGAGAATAATTTGAAAATATCACAGTATTTAAAAAATAATAATTCATCATTCAGGAGTACTCTTAAGAGTTATTAAAGTAAACCTTTTTGTTAAGTCTATCTTTATTTTATGTTAAATGCTATTTAAAAGTAATATAACATTTAGGTTGTAGACTTTTCTTTATATGTTGTTTATTTTCTATTTCAGATTGCTGTCTTGGAAGCCAGCCTCCAAAGAAAAATCTGAAGTACTTATTAGAAAAGATTCTGTATTATCTCAGTCCAGAGTGTCTCTGGATGAAAAAGTAAGTAAATTTTATTACAACTTATTTATTAATTGAGTTAATAAATATGTTGGAAATTTTAACAAAATAATAGATGCTTATGAAGTAAATTTTTTTTATGCAGGTTTTTTATTTATTACATTTCTCTCATTTTAATAATTTTCTGAACTTGTGTAACTTAGGTTAGAGAATCATTCTGAGTCTGATTCTGGAAGAAATCGAATTCACATATCTCCCCAGTGTGATAAATGAAAAATTAATGTGGATCCATTATGAGTTATGAAAAATATTTCAACTTCTCAAATTATTTAGCTTTAAAAAAATTTAAAGCATGTGGAAAACATGTTCATATTTTTGAAATGCATATTTTAGAAAGCTTTTGTTAAAGAATAATGTAAGGATTGAAAGTTAACAATATAATATTTATTTTAAACAAAAAACGATATAACTCTTAGGGAATGTGGAAATATTTTCAAATTTTTTTAAGGAAAAACATACATTAGAGAAAGTCTCTGATGATCAAAATTCACCCTGCAAATGCAAAATAAATTCACAACTTATGAGTACCTTTTTTGGGAGCTGTTGTATCATATGAACATCTTTCATTACTATGCATAAAAATATCAATATCTACGATTTACATTTATAGTTCTCAATTTGCTATGCATAATGGAAAATACTTCTGTTTTTACGATTAAATTAATTTATGAGGGATTTAGATTTTTTACCCTTGAAAATAGAATCCTAATAGTTTGATCAGGAGAGTTGTTGAAAGTTAGAAACTCTTAAGTGAATTGAAAAATTTTTGCACACAATTATGAAATTCCATTATCCAAAAACAATTACATGANTATATTTAAATAAGTTTAAGGTGATGTGGAAAAGTTTTTTAATATTGTATAGTGCACAAAATAAAGAAATGAACACCCTAAATAACTTTTTATTTAATGATCAGATTTTCACTTACTTGAACACAATCTCAATGGATCAATCACCAAACTCTAAATATAGGAGTTAATAAATGCAGACGATATTTTAAATTACAAAATCAGACCCGAAAACATACTTTCTCTGACCTAAATTACCTTACTTTTTTTATGAGGGATTTAGATTTTTTACCCTTGAAAATAGAATCCTAATAGTTTGATCAGGAGAGTTGTTGAAAGTTAGAAACTCTTAAGTGAATTGAAAAATTTTTGCACACAATTATGAAATTCCATTATCCAAAAACAATTACATGAAAAAAGTAATTTTTAATTATTATTTATTATTATTTTATTTAATAATAATTAAAACAATTACTGCATTGTTTGGTATACAAATTTTTACTGTATTTTTGAGGAATCTTAATTTTAAATGGCAAAATACAAATTTTTGAAAGAAATCAGTTGAATGGTTCTTGAAAAATCAAATTTTAAACATAAGACTTTTTTAAAACTATTTGGCCGATTGTACTGAAATTTTGTATTTTACCTTTTAAAGTTAAATTTTTTAAAATGATGTAAACATTTGTATACCTTTACAACCCAAAAGATTTAAACTAGTTTTAAAAAAATTATAAAAATAATGAATAATTATAAAAAATTATTTTACCTTTCAATAAATAAATGAATTTTTTAATTGTGTTAAAAAAAATTTAAATTCACTAAAAATGTCTTAAATATGGTGAAATATGCAAAAAGTATAATTTACATTAAAGGGTCCAATCTTTAGACAGCTTTCCTGTACAAAGTTTTGGAATCATATTTTTCAGATTGCTGCTATCCCTCTAATTTTTAGGGTAAAGAAATCGAATCCCTCTCAAAAGAGGTTTATTTATTCTCAGAAAGTGCGTTTTTGTTTGATTTCATAACTTAAAATATCGTCAATAATTAATTTGCAAATTTAAGGTTTAACTCTCAAATCTTTAAGATTAAATCCTAGTACTTTAAAATTCTTAAGTTATTCAAGGTGTTTACTTTTTTGTTTCCTTTCATTTTTTATTTTATTTTCATGCATCAAAGAAAGTTTTAAGTAATTGAAACGTAAGTTATGTATGTGGTATACCCTACACTCATTCATCAAAATATTTGTGAATAATACTTCCATTTGATAGCTTTAAAATGTCTTTATATTTTTTGGGATTATAATCAAAAAATTGTCATTGTGTCAAATTTGTAAGAATTCAAAATATTGTAATATTCAAAAATTAAACGCCCAGGTTCCTTTTCAAGTAATCTGTTTAAACAGCACAGCAATTTAATTAAAATTTTTCATTTTTTACCAGGAAATCATTTTTGCTAATCAACAATCATATTTTCCTTATTGTTGTAGCACTAGTAATTTCGCTACCAAAATGTTAAAATTCTTTTATTTTTTTATCGATGCAATGAATTTCTGATATTTAGAAATGAACCAAACTTTCAAGTTTCTCTGCGAATTACAGTTTAAATTAATTTTATGAAGCAACAAATAAAAATTCTTGAAAACTTTGATCATAATTTTCAAAATATGATAGAACTGTAAAGCTAAAAGATTTTCTTTATATCTTATTTTTTATCTTTTAGATAATAATTTAAAAATATGCTGACTCTCTAAAGATGTAAGTTGTATATATACTATCACTTTCGAGTTATAATTAGCTCTGAAATGTATCAATGATAATTTGAGATAAAAATTATGCTTTCCTTCTGGATTCATCGACTGCTAGCATCAAAGAAAAAAGCTTTTATTTTATGACTTTTAAAATGAAATTTTTTAAAATGTTGACCTTTTAACTGTAGTTTTCTTATTTTTTACATCTTATTGTTGTTTTATTTATTTTTGAATATAGTCAAAGGGAATCTCTGATGGAGATTTTCTTGATCAGCCAAATTCTGAGGTAGTGGAGGATGAGAAACCTGGAAGCACTGAATATAAACTAAGGAGGCAAAACAGTAGTAGCAGTAATGAAAGAACTCCTAACCACTTCGAGAGACAAAATAGTTATAAGAAAGGTCTAATAGTTTTAAATATCTTTTATGTCTCTTTTTATGTTACATTGCATTTATTTATTTTTTAAACATTTTATTTTTTTCATTTATTTATAGAAAACTTGTTGCTAATGTTTTCATATGTGAATTTTTTTTTTCATTAGCAGAAATGCAGTTGAAATAGATTTTTTTCAGTTTTTCAATTGTTCAAAAAACTATGGTAGTCCACTACACAGTCAAATTTTGTTTTTAGAAAATTAATTTACTTACACAAATATTCTTTTTTTTTTTTAAATTTTCCTTTAATTATTATTTTATTAGTATAAAAGTGGATGACAAAATTATACATTTCACGAGTTGGGCAAACTGTAACTGATTACAAGTAATCATTGAACTATGATTATCAAAGCCATCCAGTTGTTAAACTTTGCGATTGCCATTTAGATTTTTTTTATGATGATATTGGTTTAAAGTTAAGTTTTATAGCAAATAACCTTTGTTATTGACGTATTTTTAATTACTTATTTTTTAAATAATTTTTAGCAGCACATTTCATATTTTATTTTAGATTTGTTTTTCACTTTATTTTTCAATTATATATAACCTAGTTTTATTTGTTTAGGACAAGAAATGACTGATGAAAAATTGTTTATTTCTTTGAAAATTAAATGTATCGTGCAGTTGGAACTTATCCAAACTATAGATAATATTATATTTTATCCTGCCACAAGTCGCAAAGAAGATGAAAAGAATTTAGCTGCTGCAAGAGTATGTTTTTGTTTCATTAAAAATTTTTTTAAATTCAGATAAATGTGTCATTTTAGGCAAGTTTTTATAATTAGAAAAATAATAATGTGATTCTGTAACGCTTAAATTATTCGAAAAAATTGCTTCTTTCGAAAAAACATTTTATGGAACTAAAAATATTAAAGCAAAAATAGAAAGAGTTTAGGACTACTTTTTGTTTTAAATAAATAATATTTTAATGTACCTAATTTAAATATTTTATAAACTTTTAGTTATTATGTAATTTGCATTAGTGAGTTTTACATTACATCACAGTGTTCTGACTCTGAAAAGAGTGCAAAGTTTTCTTTACTCTGATTTGCATCGTCAGTAAGCAACATTGCAGAAACCTGTTTTGGTTTCAGTATAAGAGGCCATTTAAAATTGCGAAGGATATGTCATAGTATTGTTAAAAAATATTTACTCTTCAAAAATGTTAGTTTATATTACCAATTATTTGTGCATTTTTTTTTTAAATTTGCAATTGTGAAAATAATTAATTTAAAATTTTTTATTATAAGTATTTACTGAGTGGCCCACAAATAATCAGCGATTCAAAAAGAAATTGACGATGTGCAATTTGTTTCTTATTGCTTTGAAGGAAAGGTGATCCTCACAAATTTTTAAATTAGTTGAAAATTTGTCAACAAATGCCACTGCTAACTAGGAATAACTATGAAACAATTCTATCAAAAGAACCATTTGTAGCATCAATGATGCAGTCTGAACACAAAATGATTACACCCATACGAATTTCTGTTAGAATGTTGCAGAATTTTCAGCTGGCTGTACTATCTGCTGATGAACTTCAATTAATTTTAAAATTTAGTAAGAATAATTCTTGTTTCTCAACACGAAACTCGACAAAGCATATACCTCCTTCCTTCTGTCCTTCTTTCATTTGTGTTTTAAATTATTGGTAGTTTTTGTACACTTGACAGTTATTGATTTTTTAATGAATTTTTTTCTAAAAGAATTTTGTTCTTTTTCTATATCTCTGTACATGAAAAAAGTGGTAAAATTAGTTTAAAGTGTACCAGAAATGCTATGCTATAATAGAAACAGCAAAAACATATCAAAACAGAAAAAAATTTCTAAAGTCTTAAAGCAAAAAGTGTTTAAGAAAACAACAAAATTGAATATCCTGATTATAATTAAAAAAATTCAGCAGTACAAAATACATGGTTCAGTATAAAGTAATCTAGTTTTAATTCTTCATATTTTGCTTTTCCATTTCTTTTTCAAGACATAAACTTGAAAGCCGTTAGCAAGTTTTTGAACCTGACAAATGTGCATAAAAACTATTTCTAATAATGTATAGCTTAAAAGACTAAGTTATTAAATCTATTCAAATTCCAAAACAACAAAACATTGCCGAATATTAGGTTGAACATCCAACCAACTGAATTAGTTGAATATTCATCCTTTTTGCCGAATACCCAATAGTGCTGAATTTTTGTTACATACCTATTTTTATTAAACAAAAATTTAGATTAAATTTTATTAATAGTATTAAAATAATTTATGAACAGGTTTACTTTTAACTTCTAAAAGTAGTAAAATTAATTTGAGTTCAAAAAAAGATGCTCAGTCAAAAAAAATAAATTTATCTTTTACAGGCTGAAATGCGCCAAAGTGATGAGAATGAACAAACCTCTGACAGTCATCAACAAGAGGATCAAGGAATGTATCAGTTTCTATCTTCTTCACAATTACTTCTTTTAGTTGACTGCCTTATGGAAGCACATCAGTTTGCAAAAACTTTCAATTCAAGTCACGAGCAAAGAAATTTCCTTTGGAAAGCAGGTAAGTCTAAATATATTCACTTAATTTAGTAACAATGGGTTGTACAATGATGTACATTATAAAATGTAACGTTGGTCAGAATTGAAGTCCTGTTCCACATAAAATATTTTATTTAATTAGTAACTTTTAAAAAACATTGAGAATTTAAAACAAATTCTAGTTTTTATTTAAAGGTTTTAAGCTTGAATTCAAATTATGTCTAACTTAGTAATTTATGCATTGAAAGATTCTAATTTTAAAAAAAATTGGTCTGCTATGACATGCTGTAAACATCTGGCTGTAATTTATTGCTTACCAAAAATTTGTTTGTTAGTCATATTTGCTAAAAAAATTTGAATTCTATATGAAATTTTGTTGTGTAATAATTATTTTCAATTGTATTTGTCTAGAATGACAAAACTATATAGTGTTTTTGTGAAACATTATGCAACTCCATTTTACTTCACTTTTTTTTAAAATTAAAATTTGATATTTGGTTTTTTATTGTATACATTTTTCTTGAAATTCACACTATTTAGTTAATTAGATTATCTTCAAAGTGACAAGCAAAAAATTTTTATCTCAGATTTTTCCATTCTTATACAAATTAAGAGTTCTGTCTTAAAAGTATAATACTTTAATTTATAAAATTAGTTATTAAAATTGGCTTTTGTGCTTACTACACACGTCTCCAAGTGGTTCTCATAGTATTGAGAAAAAGCTGAAAATCTCTTCATATGCTCAAGTGGTAAATTACAATCTGGATTACTGCTAATCTTGAAAGGGTTTTACCCTTTCTTTATCTGACTCATCTCCTAACACTTATTCTATTTTGACGATTCTTCCCACTTGAGAATCCTCAAGCTTTTTACAAAATTTCATGCAGTTAATTTTTTTAACTTTTTCTGTAAATTTCTCTCAAATTAAAGCCCCAATCTTATTTATATATGCTAGTTTTTCTTAACAATATGGTGATGACTGAGCAATGAAAAAATTGAGCATGAGAGCTAGGGTATACTTTTTAATAGTCATTAAGCTTCATGCAATGTTTGTATTCAGAATCCAGATTATGGTCGGATGCTTCTATTTTAACAGATCTCATACATTATTTATTTTGAAAAAGTTTAGTTCTAAGTGTGCTACTATATTATTTTTTTTATTAAAATTATTTCCAATTATATATTTCCTCATTACTTTATTATTTAACAATATTTCCCTGTTTTATTTGAATATTTATTAGGTTGCCTTGTTTTCATCTTTTATGAAATAGAAAATATAATTATTATTTCTTAGAACCAATTTTGGTTCTACATTTTTTATTGTAATTTAAAATTTCTTAACAACATTCTTCTGATAATTTTAGCATGTAGATGCAAATATTTCAGGACTTCTCTTTTTTAATATCTCTGCGAGCTATATCGGCTTTGATTGTAAAGTGGTGGCCATACATATATCCATCTTAAATTTGAAACAGCAGTTTTTATATAGATTTCCATTTACCAGTTTTGTTGAACTTCTATTGACAATAGAGATTTTCCAGAACCAAACCTTTTTACTCTCATCCTAAATCAAATCATTCTTCAACGTGCCCGTGGCCTTTAGAATAATGTGCAAGCCAACTTCCTTGCTAAAAGCAGTATCTATTTGTTATAAAGTCTAAATACAACAACTTTTAAGTTATTAAAAGTGATTGTATTAAGATTTAGTACTATTAATTGGACAATTAAACTGCTTCTAGTTTATTTACATCTAAATCATTGAGAAACCTTCTGGCTCATACAACCCCAAACAAACAGTTAGAGAGGCTAAGCTTTTCACTTGTACCTAATAAATATAGAGGTGATGTAGTTGCGACCTTTTGACTGTTTATAGGACATGATTACTTTACTGCCTGTCTCCACCGCCTATGACAACCGAGCCTATTTGTCCACTATGTGATTCTAGTGGAGTAATAGGTACCACCTCTTATGTTAGACTCTTTAACAGATATACCGAGGTGTTCAGATATTGGAAAGCAAGAAAAGTAATTTGCAATGATTCCGGTTTTCTGCTTTTCATTTACTGCTCTTTGTTATGATGTTCTGAGTTCTATTATTCTATTTGACCTTTTGCCTTGACAATGGAAATTTAAAAAAAAATGTTTCTGTTAATGAAACTCATAAAGATATTATCTCTTTAAGGATTTCGAGGCAATGTGAAACCAGACCTTTTGGTTCACGAATCTCACAGTTTGGCATGTGCCTTAAGGATTTTATTTAAAATGTACACTGATGAAAGCAGGCAGGATTCTTCAGCCGTTGTTCAAGAAAAACTGATTAAGTAAGTAATAAATGCATTAACTTTTTAATGCATTGAAAACTTTGGTATTATTTTGTTAAAAATTTGCTTTGTTTAACATATAAGTTTTTTTTTGTTTCATTGTATAGATTATGAATGAACAATGTAATGTATGCATACGAGTTTGCTAATGATTGGAAGGGGGGGGGAAACACATTTTGTATGTTTTCGCAGCGTATGTGCAAAAGTCGCTAAGACATTATTTAAAATAGTTTGATTATTTCATTTTTTTTCAGAAAGAAACATGTTTGATAGCTCAATACTTTTAATTAACTGTAACTTTTCATATAAAATTAAATTTATATAGTTGCATATTTTTAAGTACAATAAAAATAGTAAATTTTAGTAAATATCTTAATTTTATAGATTTTTTAATTTAAACCTTTCTTTAAAATACATTAAAAAAAATTATAGTTTCTTGTGTGGAAAATATTCTGCCTTATTTAAATACTGGAAAATAAAAGTCGTCTAGTATCGATACTTTTTTAAAAAAATTTTTTATTTATTTTTAAATTAAAAGATAAACAGGGGTCGTCTATAAATGATGTCACACTTGTTGGGGAATGAGGAGGCTCTTAAAAGTGTGACAGTTTATGACAAAAGGGTGGGTACCAAAAAATATAACGTCATAAATTCTGGTTAGAATTAAAATATATAAAATCAGCAGATTATCTTTCTTTATGTATTAATTTTTAACATTTTTACCTTAAAATAAGGTGTTTTGTCTTACAAATGTCACTAAAACACGTAGTTAAGGTTTTAAAATTCAGTTTGTAATATAATGGGACATGTCATAAAAGGATAAGGGGCAAGCGTGACACTTTGTGATTAAGTGAATTAAGTAGAAAATAAAAAAATTGAAAAAAAGTGGGAAATTATTTATGGGTGGTCCCTTTCTAATAATACGAAGGCAGAAATACAATATTCTTTTCTGAACCCAAAAAAAAAAAAAGAAATTTTATTTGAGAAATAATTGTTTTAAATAACAAGGAAATCCCTGCTTAAAAACTTACTGAATCACCAAATTTTTCTGAAACAAAAAAAATAAGAAATAAAATAAAATTTTGGATAATTGTGTTGGAAAATGTTTTCTGATTATTATGAAAAATACCCACGATTTCAATAATTAATCTCATATTGCATCTATTTCATTTTTAGAATATCCCGTGAAGCACTGGCTTATTATCTGAATTTGACCGCTGAAAAACACAAAGATTCATATACTAGTCTCATATTGCTTTTGTTGTCTCGTGTCATTCAACTGGATGACGAAAACCGGGTAATTTTTATTTTTTGTTTAGCTCAAAATATTTTTTATTTTTTGTGTTTAAATGCATAAATATTTTTACTTTGTAAATATACTAGAATTTTGCTGAACTTAAAATCTTCATAGTATGAACCTATCTCAAGGATTTGAACAATGAAATGAGGTCATAAAAGCTGTTATTTACGTTTGATTCATGAATCATATGAACTCAAATCACGATACATTGTCAATATGTCATGGAAAAATATTAAATTTGATGTTTGTGTGTTGTGCGAATAAAAGTCAGGAATTAAAGAATAATGTTATTTTAATATGATTGAAATGTTGCTGATCATTAAATAAATTCACAAATTGTTTAAAGAAAATACAAAGCTGTTCAAAGGTGTGATCTGAATAATCATTATATAGCATCACTTTGCCATGATGTAGGAATAAGTCTTTAGATTTCTGTTAAGAAAGTTTTTTTGACAAGTGTATCTAAGAAGCATAATTGCAGGACTTCATTATCAAAACCGCAAGATTGTGAACAATGGATCATTTTATCATTTGTGATCATCAGATTTGCAGAATTTAAATACATATCACTCAGTTAAAAAAAAAATCGAGCATCTTATATTTTTTAAAACACCTCGTGATGTTATTCATACTTAAATCCTTGTTAAGTTTCAAAAATAAAAAATTTTAAATCAGTGAAAATCATAAAAAGTTCTATTAAATATGCATGATACTTAAAATTGTTTTAATTAAAATTATTAAAACTGTGTGATTTATTTAATGCATTAAGTCAAGTCTACAAATGTTACGACTGTAATGGTAAAATTGCTCTTATTGTCCCCATCTAACTTGTTAATGAATATTAATAAAATATTAATCATTTTTGTTCTTCCAAAATTTGTGCATATCATAAATAACTAAATTGTTAAAAGTTTGATTGCTTTTTGTATAACAGTTGTCCATTTTGCTAGACAAGTTAAAGCACATTACTCTTTGTATGCTTTGATAAGTTTTTGTACAAGAATCCTAATTAAATTACTTCTTTAATGGGGAAATAAAATATTTTGATTGCTTAAACTATTAGTTCCCAACCTTTTTTGGCTCACCATCCATTTTGCAAGACTAACTTTTTTCAATGCTCCCTTAAAAAAATTTTTTTTATCAAGGTTTATTAAAAAAAAATTTTAAAAAAACTCTCTAACATTCTTTGTTTCCAATATGGAACATTTTTAATCATATTGTTTATTTGTTTAAAATTCCTATGGAACAATTTATACTTGAATCTGTATTAGCAATTTTTTTAGGCAAGTAGCGCTTACATAAAAAGGGCAAACTTCTAAGTATAATACTATAACTGTAAAATAATTTGCAAACTAACAAACTAATTGTTTTAAAAACCCCAAACTTCTGTAATATTATATTTATGATGAATAATTGAATATCATAATAATTTTTATAAAAATGCAAAAGTAGCCTTTTTATGCAAGTAGCCCTTACATAAAAAAGCAAACTTCTAATTATAATATTATAACTGTAAAATAATTTACTAACTAATTGTTTTAAAAATCCCAAACTTCTATAACATTATATTTATGATAAATAATTAAACATCATAATAATTTTTATAAAAATGCAAAAGGATTTGTTTAAATATGTAAAATTAAAAAAAAAAAACATTGTTACTAAAATAAATATTTTGATGTGTAAAATAGCAAGCAAAGTGTTACTTTCACTATTAATTTGGTTAATAATCATTTTTTTTAAATAAATTACTGAATTAATAGCAGTTTTAATAACATATAATTTACAGTGTTGTATTAAATTATGTTTTGGTTTTTATCAGTTCGAAATAAAATAAAATTAAAGCTCAATATTTTAAATGAAAAATTCTTCTGTAAGTTCTTACGCATTTTATAAAAAATTCGAGTGCTCCCTTTGAAATCTTTAGCCCTACTGGAGGACAATAGCACCCATGTTCGGAACCAATAATTTGAACTCATCTATTTTTATGTTATTTATTTAGAATAAATGTTATATTAATATTATTTCTTCACTTGTAGTTTCGAGCTCATGCTTCTGCATATTACATGCCTCTATGTGAAATGATATTCTACGAATCTAAGCCAGAATTAAGAGCAATATTGAGGCGTTTCTACATACGGTGTTCAAGAGCTTTCCGGATATCCAGCTATATCTCCCACTGACAGCAACATTATCACTGTACCATACTTCATATGCAATATTTGTAGATAAGATAAATTTTATTATAAAAAAAATGATAAACTTCATTTTATATTGATGCCATCTCATAAAATCAACGCCAGACTAGTCATTTAGGAACAGTGACTGCTTTGTAAATATTTTAACAAAATTGTAACTATTCTTCCTTTTTATTTCTATTTGGTGATTAATAGATGCTTTGATTATAAAATAAATGTCAAGCATTAGTGATTTTTATTGAATTATTGTGGTTAATAAATGCATAATGAACATGATCATGTGATTATATGGTAATAAACACCTGTTCTTCAAACTGTTAGAAAGCTTTTTTGAAAGAAAAAAAAGCAGTTTATATACGTATCAGCAAACTTTTTATAGATACTATTAAAATAGAGAATTCAAAATTTTTTGTTTTTGTTTGCGTACTGTTTGTGATCCATTTAAATTTCAGCTTCAGGGGTATACCATCTAGAAAGGAAGTAGAGAAAGATAAAGTGAAGTTAGCAAACTTCCTCAGTTTGGACTAGCATTTAATGTTAATACCCCTGTGGAGGACTGCACTCTTAAAAATTATTTTTAAATTTCCAATTTGTTTTTAGTATAAAGCATTTGGGCTTCAAATAGTTTTTTTTTTTATCAAAGTTTTGAATATATAGACTATAAAACCAAATCGATTCACTTTTGTTTGGTGAAAAAAAATTTTTTTTAGCTACATAATTTTTTTTTTCATTGCCATCAAAATCAATTGGGGAACCATTGTTTAGCTTAGTTACAATAAGAAAATAGAACTAGAATTCTAGAACTCTATTTTTTATTCTTACTCTTTTCACCCCTAGCATAAGCTTCAAGTTTGACTCATCAATCCACGTACAGATCAGCGATTCTACCTCACCCCAAAAGAATGCAACAAAGAAGGATAATACTTAATCTGTTTTGTACAGTTCGTTAAAATGTTTAATGAGTTTATTCACCATATAACTTAATTATGTTCTTAATCATTTGTTGACCAGATTAATTTTTTGAAAATAATTCTTAAGGAATTTCTTAGCATCCCTTAGCTAATTAAAGTTTTCATTATTAGTAAGTTTGGTATAAGTAATACTTCTATTTTTTTGGCTAGTAAATAAAGTATAGTATGTTTTCTTTAGATTCTGAGAAAATCTCAGTTGAGATATGAAGTCAAACTTATCTTAGAGAAAAAATTGTACAGCATAATTTCAGTTTCCTCCATCCAAATGAAATTTTCAATTATTAATGAAGCACTGTTTTGTCGTTTGCACTTTAGACTCTTTTATAGTTAAAGGTTATTCAGAATTATGAAATATTTTTATAAAAAAAAATGTAGTTAAAATGTCAGAAATTGATGAGCAATTAATAATTCATTACATTTTATTTCCTTAAACATTTTATTTACTTATTTCAGGGATGCACAACCAATGGCTCGAAAGTAGCATGGCAAATCTATTTACTTCCTCCCCGAACTATTTATTAAAAAAAAACTTTTTTTTTTTTTACAACTTATCTTAATGAGAGGGAAAAAGACTAACTTCTGTAGAAATTTCGCAAACAAGTTTCATATATATATATATATATATACATATATNATACAGAAAAGATATAAATAGAAAAATATGATTTCAAAACTTTGATTAATAGTCAAAATTAACTTATGAGGTGTTAATAAAAATTTTAGTTTTCTATTTTTTTTTCTTTTGTATATCTATTATTGTTTTATAATCAATTTCCTTATAATCTTAATATTTATTTGCATTAAATATTTTTATTTTATTGTACATAAATATGTATCTGGTAAAAAAATTAAGTTGTTATTTTTATTACTTTCAACTATAATACAGTCATGTTTTTACGGGTTATTGCCTTACGTTAATGTTTAACCCAAATATTAAGTTTTTTTTTTTAAATTTTGTGGCCTTCTAGCCTGTGCATCCTTGAGTTAAATAGTTTGTTACCTGTTTCATCTGAAGTTTTTTTTATACTATTTTTAAGAAATATTTCTGTGATATTTGATTAAAAAGTAAAATCTAATATAGTTCTTTATAATGTTTTTGTCGAAGGTATTCATAATTTTTAAAATTGTTATTTGAAATTTGATGATTTTTTTTTTATTGTGGGAATTTTATTTAGAGGTATATCTGCATTATTAAAATATTTAAAAATAAAATTATCTTACCTATAATTATTTTAGGTTAGTGCATTCTTTCAAATTTGCATTATTGAAAAAAGTTCTTAATTTTATTATTTTTTTTATTTATTTTACACATAAAACAAAAACTAAATTTTTTAACTTGCAATTTTGTTCAATTTGTATTATGTTGCATTTTAAATATTTTACTATTCTTTAAATGTAGTTGGAAACCAAACTTATTGTTTTCAAAATTAGACATCAATGTATAATTAATTTATTTGATTTGTATATGTTTTTGGAAATAGTTTGCCAAACTATGTGGTTAATAAGCATTATAGTTAAAAATTGTTACAAATGCTTGGAAATTTAATGTTTTAATAATTCAGTAATTTAGTGTTGTTTTTATTTCCTTTTAAAAATTTATTCTAAATATAGCTGGTTGTGAAGTTTAGTATTTAAATTTTTTATTCTCTAACTTTCTGCTTAAAGAATAAGGATTAGTTGTTATAGTTGCATTTTCCATTATTTTATTGAGGAAGCAACGTTTATATAATAAACTTGTTTTGAACTTTTTACAATGCAGTGTTTAATTAAGAAATATAAATATCTTTTATTATATTTCTTTATGGTTTGAGAGTAAGTTAGCTTCAAAATATTTTAATGTAGCAGTATAGATGAAATTAACTTAGTTTGCCAAAGAACACTGTTTTTTCGCGCTCATGCTGGCTTGGGTTTTAATAGATTCATATATCTTAATTCATTTACATAACAATTTATGTTTAGTTATCAAATTTTTATGTGAAAAGTGTCCATTAAACAAAGATTAAACTCTGCGAGTTTTAAATTTAAAATTTTTAATTCAATATGTGTTTAATGCTTGTAAAGCAGGAAGATGTAAATTAATACGTATGTTATTACTTATTAATATTTCATAACCTCTTTTGTCTAAAATCGCTTAAATTTTATATATATATTTTACTGAGTCATGTGTAAAGGCCTAGTTATCCTATTCATTAGAATTCTACAACTTAAATTAATCAAGAAATTTTTATTATTTGTGGTGGTCACAACATTTTATTGAGAAAATAAATAACTATGCCATTTTTGTTATGAAGAAAGTCTTCTGCTTCTTAAAATTTTTATATTTTTTTATCTGGAATGTTTCAACACTTCAAACTTATTTGTAGTTTAATAATTTTACCTGACTATAGAGTTTGCAGGAACGGATATTTCATCTATTTTTAGTAAAAAATTTCTCTCTGTCTTTTAGTAGGAATGCAGAAGTATCCACTACTAAATAAAAATATTATTCATTTTATGGTATTCCAACTCAATTAGTATCTATATATAAGTTAAACTGGATTATTATATAATGAATCCTTTTTGTCAGTCAGCAGTGAAATTTTGTGTAGTCTCATTGAAAGATACACCACTTTCTACAATTGTGTGTGTGTAAAAATGTGTAACTGAGTGTAGAACTGATTCATCTTGAGACATCCCAGCTTAATTAGCATCCATTGATGTGTATGTTGAACTGATTCATCTTGAGATATCTCAGGTTAATTAGCATCCATTTATATATGTGTTGAACTGGAATATCATATAATAAACCATTTTTACATTCATTAGTGGACATTTCTGCAGCCTCATTTAAAATTGTAATAATAAAAGTTTTTTTTAAGAGTGTTGATTATTAAACTTATGAATGTTGGATTATTAAACTTTTACGTTGACAAATAAAATATTTAAGTTTTGGTCATTTATTTAAAGGTTGGGGTTCTTCCAACAATATGTATTATGAATGTAATTTCTCCGTAATTGCAAGAAATCTATTTGTTGAATTTCTTCTAAAAAGCAAAAACGTGTGTTTTTTTTCACTTGTAATAGTTTTATTAGAGGTTTTTTTAACAGTAGATTTCAATTGAATTTAAAGGAAGGTTTTTAAAAGGTTTGTGATACGAGTTTAAATTAGTATTGTTTTCTATACATTCCAGTTCATTTGCATTGATGCACTTCAGTGGAAAGATTTATTCATTTGACTAAAATTTCATGTTATATTTAAATTTTGATTGTGTGACTGTAAAATTTATTTATATATAGCAAAATTATTTAATAAAATGTTATGAGTTTCTCTTAGCAAGTTGTGTGTCCTGTTATTTACTAGAGAAGATCAAGTTTCGAAATTAATTAAAAAGTTCCTTAATTTTCAAATGACATTGCAGTCTGGAAAAACTATAAAGAAGGTTTTCTGCTGCATTTTGAACTATTTCGATCTTAATATTTTTAAATTTAATTAATCCTTACTTTGTTTTTCAGACTGGTCAAAACTTGTCTCCAAGCAGTGATTTTTTTTATAACCATATATTATAAGCCACTCTACTTTTTGACAAACTTTGCAAACTATTAAAAGAATTAAACATCAATATTTTGCATGCACTCTCGCGCAAAATTCCAAGCCTTTTGACAACAACAAAATATTTTTTGATGAATATTAATGAAATAGTAAAATATTACATATGATGAGTTAAAGTCATTCTTGTAATAATTTTAATTAACTTAGTAACTCATCTAAATCAATTTTGTTTTGAAATATTTAAATTTATAGATAACTTATTTATAATTCATTTATTAATCTCGATTTTTCAATAATTTTCTGTGCCTTTTTTTCAATAAGTTCGATTTAACATAGGCTCAAAAAAGTTCAAGGGTAATTAATTTTGTCATATATGATCATTTTAATCATTTTTATAATCATTCGAATACTAATTTTGTTTACATAATTACAAAATCATTTCGATGAATGTCTAAGTGATTTCCATAAGAAAGAAAGATTTCTATAACAATTTTTTTTTACCGTATTTAATTTACAGGGACTCTACTTTTAACCATCATGAGTCGGAATGATCTAGTTTCTCTGACTTCTGCAATCTTTTCTCTGTACTGGACTATACCCAGGGTCTACATTTAGGTATGTTCTGCACTGTAAAAAATTCTGGATCAATGTGAGGTAAAAAGGTTTGGCATCTTTAGTGCAGTGTCCGTAAAATCCAATTTTTACCGTATCTTAGCTGAATAGTTTTTTTCTTCCAGAGCGCTATAGCCCGTTACAGGCCAAGTATTCCTTTCTAAGACTTTTCCATCGGATTCTATCCAGCGCAATAACCCTCTATCAGTTTTCTTCTATCTAGGTTGAATAATGGCAGAAAAATATTGGCTGAATCGGTCAAATCGATATGGGTTAAGTAATAGATATAAAATATGCGAATCTGACAACTTTTTACTAGGCATATCAAGACAAAATATAGGCTGATAACAGCCATTCTTGTTATTCGTCACAGATTCATGAATAATTTACTTACTTAAATAAATAATCCCAAGGAACTGAAGTAGTAAGATATTATTTGATTAAAACTTCAAAAATGTACAAATTGGAAATGATAGTTGGCATGTTTCAAGCGCTCAAAAAACATGTGTCTGGCAGGTCTTGAAAATGGGCACCAATTTTTAAGCTCTTGAAATATGTTGACTGTTATTTTCAATTTGTATATTTCTGAAACGAATGAAGTTTTTAATCAAATGATGTTTTTACTTTTTACTACGATAATGTGAATGTTATGACATGGTTGAAGGGATTGCGAATCGTATGCCGTTTTCGGGAAATATTTCTTTGGATATGAACTAAACACGATTTAGTTGGAATGTGTATTAACCTTGCATTACTATTATTACTTTCGGCATCCAGAAATTTAATTCCTTTTGCGCCATTCCTTATTTCATAAGAGAATTTTGTATGAGAGAAATTTTGAAAACTTCATTCTTTTAAGTAAGATTTGCCTGCACGCTTTCAATCTTCAAAAGAATATTATAAAAAGAATGCATGCTAGCATTTTTTATTTATAATCCTGGCAGTCAAATGAGCGGAAAATTAGGTAATTTCTTTTTCACTGCAGGTAAACAAATGTGTATTGCGTGCGATCGCGAATTCAATTGTGTCTGCGGCTTCGAGTGAGATTTGTCGCTGCTATTTTCATGTTCGTTCCAAGTCGCTTCTTTTTTTCCTGTCGAGAACATCACAGGAAGTCGTTTAGAAAAGTAAATCTTGGAGGAAAACAAAAAATCCAAAGGGAACTTTCACTTTCCATAAAAGCTATTTCCCACACGTTTATTAAACGAACAAACAAAGCTTTCTAAATTGATGTGAGAGGTTTTATACAGGATGATGTCCCTCAATGCTAAATCACGGGCAAATTTTCCTGCCATGTGTCACAGAAAATCGTCCGAAGATTTGAAGAAAATCATATAAAAACAATAACGAAAGGAAATAAAATATACGGTTTTCTGCGTTCTCCATTGGAAGTTAAAATATTTAATCTCACCAAATTTCAAAGTTAACTACTACTAAGTTCGTCTTCCATTGTTTGGAAAAACCATAAAACGATGTTTTCTGCTGCATGTCAGACAATTCTAATAAAAATAGTTCCGCAGTATTTTTTCGATAAAATTATGTAACATTTATACTCAATAAGAAACTTTTCTTTAATCTAAAACGAACCTCGCCCTGGGGAACGAACGGAAGACTGGAGGCGAATCTCCATACGTTTGTCATAAGAACGTATGGGCATGGGCGGAATAGAAACGTCAGTCAGTCATAAAGGTTTGGTCTGGGTGTCTTAGGCCGTTGTGACCCTTTACCCATTCAGCATGTAAGCAATGGACTTTCAGTTTTGAATTCTTGTGGTCTTTGAAATCTATAAGTAAATATAGAAAAGTAATAAATGGGCACATTACCCAACAAAAATCAATTTGCTCATAGAAGAATAGAAAAGTATGGGAATTCGTCTCTCTTATGTCCCTTGCGTTCCAATTGCCTTCTCAGTGTTCGATTTGTATAATAATTTCGTTTAATTTTGATAATTTTCGTATATTTAATAGAACTGCAGTAAAAGTTATAGAAACCAAATGCTTTATGTGACTTTACAGATATTTTAGTATAAACTTGTTTTTGAAATTAGATTTATCAAAAATTTAGACATTCATATGTGTAATAGAAACTGTTATAAACACTATGCTTCTCGCGCTATCATAGGCGTAGTTAGTGCAGTTGACAATGGGGATAGGCCCACTATTGTTAGAAACCTCAAAAAGTCCCATTAGAATATCGAGCGAACTAAAAAAATTTCATGAATCATTATCGATTTAAATTTGGCCATATTAAAAACACGCTAATTCATTCCTTTTGTTAATTTCATTTCTTTTTCAAAAGTGAAATTTTGAAGGTTATTATAACTGTATATTTTAATTTCATCCCCCTCAAAAATTTGAAGCCTGAGGATCTCATTCACGCTATTTAAAACATATTTCAGTGACATTAAATACAATCTACTATATTAAAGTATTTTAATCTGAAGGCTGAGGCACCAAGAAAAAAATATCAAGCGTTCAAGCCTACAGGCATTTCAAGGAGATAAAACCAAAACTCAGTTGTTGCTTGTTCAGATGGTCAACTGTTTAATAAAGTAATTATTTAAAAGGCCGAAGCCCATTTTGAGTTGTGAGACACTGAATACAAAAAAAAAAGCCAATTTGAAACGATTGTTGCTAATCAGGTTGTTTGATAGAACTACTTTTGTGGATTAAAACGATGGAATTTAATTTTTAATTTTAATAAAATCTCAGACAAAAATATAGGGCATTAAATATAAATTGATTAAATATTTTTTTTACTTACTTCTTCTAGTATAGTTCTACGTAATTTAAAATGGCTCTTGAAAGTTTTTAACTTTAATTGTAATTTCACTTATCGATTTCGAATATGCCGTTGAATGGGTACTGGTGTACCCATTTTTATTTCTCTATGATTAACTTTGTAAAATTTACAGTCGGCCTACTTTGAGTAATTTTAAAACTTTTGTGTTTTAACTCTTTACCAGTGAGGGAATGCAAGCCCTTCAAAGCTGGTATTTCAAATTTTAATAGTGCAATCAATTTCCAAAAAAAAAAAAAAAAAAAAAAAAAAAAAAAAAAAAAAAAAAANATGTTTAAAATTACTTGCACGAACCTAAAAATGAATTTGCGTAGCTTTAAAACTGTCGATATGTTTCAAGTTCTCAAAATTAGGTGTCCATTTTCAAGACTTGCCACATGTGAATGAGAAGGAAAAAATGTGATTTGATACATAAAATTTAAAGTTGCCAACGAAAAATGAAAATGTAAAAGGAGAAAACAAAATTAGGCAAAAACATAGCAGCCGACAGAGAAAAAAACAACCCACAGTGGCCCAGAGGGGTAAAAAAAGGTAAAATGCATTTCCACGCGCTATGGAGAGGATTTGTTTTTATAAGTGTATTTGCCTTTATAGGTGTATTTGCTTATCACCTACAATCAATATATTTGAAATGCATTTTACCCTGATTTGCCTCTCTCGGCCTCTGTGGTTTTTCTTATTCTGTTTCTTCAATTTTTTTCTCTCTCTTGGCTGCTGTGTTTTTTCTAGTTTTGTTTAACAAATTTATTTTTCCATTCTTAATTGACAACTTTGCTTTTCATTTTTCAAATAACTTTTGTTTCTTCTCACTCACGTCATGCAAATCTTGAAAATGGGAGCCTGTTTTTGAGAGCTTGAAACCTGTCAACTGTTATTTCATATTTAAATATTTTTGAATCGAATGAAGCTTTTATTTAAGTAATATCTTCCCGTTTCAGTATCTTGGGATTATTTAGTTAAACAAGTGCATATTTACTCTTATTGAGAGAGATAATTAATTTCATTCATGTCATTATAAAACACCGATATAAATTAGGAAAATTATTAAACCAATACGTGGAACTTAGTCCAGTTTCTGCCCTCAATACATCGCTATCATATCGGCAGATTGACGGTTGTTTTGTTTTCAGCAATAAATAGACAATGTAAACAAAATGAAAAAAAAATCAATATGATCGTTTTTTTTTTTTTTCTTTTTTACTTTTCGTGATGCTACTTCTTGGTCTATTGGAATCACACTAAATTCATGGTTAAAGGTTTAGTCTTTCACGGTAATAAATGGAATACTGTAGCTGTAAACATAAATTGCTTTATTAATTAATGACAATTTTGCAAGTATGTCTAAAGATATTGTTGAATGTCGCTGTAAAGT